CGCGTCGTCTCTCTTTCCCTTGTTTTTCTCTGCCCCCCTCTACCCACTTCCCCCCACCCCTATTTTGCACTCCTTCAACCAAATATTCCTCTTCTGATTTACTCAAAAAACATTATTCTTGTGATTTTTAATATAGAATTTAATTATTAAGTTAATTTAAGTTATAAATATAAATTTTATTTTATATATTTATTATTTTTTAAAATTATCCCTATAGATACTTTCTCAATCATAATTAAGTAGAAGAGAGAAAGGATATTAAGAAAAATGATTATAATGTTTTAGGAAAAACATGTCATATTTCTTATGATTAATTAAGTTACCTAACTTTTTTAATCTAATCAAATCAGTTAAATAGATCTTATATTAAGGACTAAATAGTATTATATAATTAAAAAAATAAATACATCCCTCGCCCCCGCTTATTCCTTTTATATTTATGAAAAAATGATCCCTAAATATTTTTAAGATTCAACGGTACTAAAAAGTTGAAAACATCAGAATGACTTGTTTTTTTATTAATTTTCCCCTTGAGATATAAGATAATTTTCTTAACATCCCACGAGTTTTTTATTACTAATTTTTAAAAGCATTGATGGTGTGTGTGTGTATTTTTGGGGCCAGTTTGGATGGGTCATCCTCAGCTTTGCTACGGTGTGCTGGGCAAAGGATCGAGAATAAAAAGGTGTTTGGCTAACCCTATAAGCACTTCTCATAAGTATTTTTTTACAAATCGTGACAAACTCTTTTATATATTTATTTTGTATACCGTAAAAACACTTCTGAAATTATAATTTTATTTTTACCCAAACACTCTCAAAAGGGGTCGGAGAAGTTGTGGATGGATGGAATATATGGATTTCCTTATCTGTCCCGGGAGAGGGAAAATGATGCGGGGTCTAATGACGTGAAAGTATAAGAGGGGGGAGCCATGCATGTGAAGGGGTGGGGGCATTTGCGGAATTAAATAAGGGTTGTGTGTATAATGTTGAAGAAGGAATCTTGCCACTTTTGAAAAAAAGATAAACAGATAAAAGGTGCAGTAATGAGTGTGGTGGTTGAAATTACTGTCATATTTCCATATGTGGCTAAGCACGGTATATTTTTCTTTCATCCCACTCTTTTGTTTTTTACCTTCCCCTGCGATCAAATAAAAAGTCACACTATAATTAAAGCTAATCGCAAATAAAACAATAAAATGCAATAAATAAATCATAAATGAACAAACATCATATAATAAATTGACAGCGCATCATGACATTCACTGGGCATGTTTTACAGAACTCAAAGCCCAGCTTGACTGGGACATTGGATTGGCTTTTTAAAAGTAATTTTGTGTTGTGTAAGGTAAGTACGTGAACTTATATAAAAGCATTTTTCTTAAATACTTTTTAAGGGGGTTTTGGGATTTAAAAAGTATTTTTACGTAAATCGATATAAAATATTTCTTGTATATTTATTTCCTGTAAAATTATTTTTATTCAGATTCCACTCAAACATTCCAAATCTAATTTCCCAGTTATGTAAGCAGAGAATGAGTATCAGTGTGTGTATACACACCAATGCACACGTATGCATCCTAAGCATATACTCTGCTTAAAAACGAGAACTTAAAAAGTAAAGGGTCATATTTGGAATAAGCTAATTAATGTGTTTGCAGCTTACTATGAAGCAATTAAATGTAAAACGATTAATGAGCTTGCTCCGGTTTCTAAAATTGACGGGTATTTGTCAACATATGTCCTTTACATTGTGTGTGTGTTTATTGGCATGCGAAATTATAACCGTTGCTGTTGTTGTCATGATGATATGCTCCATTGAAGGCCGCATGGTGAAACAGGCCGTGAGGAGGTGATGCTAGGGGTAAAAGTGCCAATTAATTTACACAATCCTCAATTGGCTCCTCTTACTTTTTTTTTTTGGGGGTCAAAGGCTCCTCTTCGAAATTTACCGTAATGCATCACATATTTAAATCTAACCTCATCTTAATATATTTGTAGAAGAATTAGGGAAACAATTCCTTATTAGGAATTTTATTAACGAGGATAGTCCAAATCAGATTATTAATTCCAAGTGTATATAAAATTTGCAACATATATATTAATATTCTTTTGTATATAAAAGTCTATCATATTCTTCTAGTCGATAAAAACTTTCAAGGGGAATTTTCTTCCAGTTTTCTCAATAACTTTCATGCCCGCTTATCGGCTTGCCTTCTATGGATAAATACTACTTCTTATTTTTAATAATAGAACTATTTTAATTTTTAGTTTAGTCTTAAATATAACATCTTAATTCACCTTGTCTTTAATATTTTTTTATTTTTAAAAACTAATTTTTATAGTAGTTACATATATTTAAATGTTTTATCAAATATTGAAGCCAATACACTTGATTATCAATAGTATTTAAGAAAAAAGTATCTGTTTATTATAAATAATCAACTCAACAAATTTTCTTAATGTATTCAAATTAATTAATTAGTTTTTATATTAATGATAAGGGATAATATATTTTTTTAAGCAAACTACTACCTCGGGTCTTTAATATAAGACATTGTTTGACTTTTATTTTGGTCATAATTACAAGACCACAATCCATTTTATCTCTCATATTTATATATTCTTTTCCAAGATAATTCCTCTAATAATGGTAGTTCTAGCCAATAAACTTGATTAGCAGGGATATTTTAGAAAAGACAACACCTATTTATTACAAATAACTAACTTAATTTATTATTTAATATTTTTAAATTAGTCAACTAATTCTTATAATTAGTAGCGGAGGAAGTATTAACAAGTATAATTGATTCTCCGACTTCTTGTATAAATTCACTCGCCACGTGTATAGAAACAGAAATAGTGGGGGCCTTGTTGTAGTTGCCAGATCATCCCACACTAATAATGGAGGAATATGAGAGGAACAAAGCATGCAAAAATATATCCTATGCCCGTGGCCATATTTCCACTTTAGGGTGTAATCACTTTGCACTTCCCATTTCTTGTCAAAAGATTCTCCAGTACTCCTCAATATGGTTCTGTCAAATAAGAAAATAAATACACTAATTTTTTAACCCAAAAAAAAATTAGACTTTCCCAGCAATAAAACATTCCACGCATATTTTAGAGGGGCAGATCCTCTAACAGTAACATTCCACCACAATTACAAATTATTCCCGGAAAAACCATATTATTTGATACTCCCTCCGGTTCTTAATATAAGATTTTGTTTAACTTTTATTTTAGTTTTAAATACAAGACATCAATCTATTTTATCTATCATATTTATACATTTTTTTCAAGATAGTCCTTCTAACAATAATAATTCTAACCAATATACTTAATTAGCAAAAATATTTTAGAAAAGACAACATCTATTTATTACAAATAACTAACTTAATTTTTATTAATTTTTTTAAATTAATTAATTAGTTCTTGTAATTAGAACTTGAATTGCCTGAGAAAAACCTCTTGCCCTGGAAATTCAACCAAGACACGAAATATCCCCAGACGTCGTGCGATGAGTCGAAACCCACTGTTTGTTTGTCTGTACTGGCTTCTTAAAATTTTAATTTGAAAAATAAATAAAATAACGAGGCTAAATCGTTATCGCTATTTGCTTAAAACCATTTGGTTTTCAAACAGGCTTCGCTCATTTTTGTTTTCATGAAAAGGACATTTATGGGGTTTTCTGTTTTTAGGCAATATATTTATCAGGGTTGAAAACATCGTCATTAAAATTGTGAAAACTCATTAGTAATATTTAATATGAGGAAATTGCTTACAACTCATAAATAAGTGAACCCATATAGGTGGGATCAAAGAATACCATTTTCTCATGGTATTTTTTAATCCTAAGTGACAACTAATCCGATATACCAAATACTCTTAATGGATTTTTTTTAAATTTTAATTCTAATTTTTATCTTTTATTTTTAATGCTTCATACTAAATGTTACATTTGTTTCACTGTAATATATTTTTCTAGTTTTTAATATAAGACCTAACTAATTAATTTGAGTAGATTAAGAATATTAGTTAAAATAGTTAATATGAGATTTTTTTTAAAACATCTTAAATATCTTCTTTAACTTCCTCCCTCTCCTATTTTATTATTATTGGGAGAATATTAATAAGAATATCAATAGGACTGATTTAAAAAAATGATGAATATATAAAATATATATTATATATAAGATTAATATTAACTTTCAAAAATAACTCCTATATCAAACACAGGAGCAAAGTGTGTATATATACTACTTCTGGTTTTAGTTATAAAAGTTTGGTTGTAGTCTATAAATATAAATAAATACAGGATGGGTGGCTGTATGTATGTAATGTGTGGCTTGGCAAAAAAAAAAAATGTATGTAATGTGTGGCGTCATTCCTAAAACAGGATTAGACTTTTTTTTTTTTTGGACTCAAAAACAGGATTAGACTTTGATGCGCGAGTTCCCTCAATTGTTCGGCGGTTATTATTAAAACTTAAAGCAACGCAATAAATTTGGAATTAATACATCAATTTATATACCTTTTAGCCCAAACATCAATAAATGTAATTGACGTAATTAGACAACCTTTCCGTTGTCACCCTCAGATAAATGGATCACGGTACTCTTAATTTAGGATTGATTTACTATAAATCTCACTATATGCTCATAATAATGTACTAATTTATGAGTACTAATCATATTATTCATAAATTATGAGTAGGATTACTTATTTCTCAAAATTTATATAATATGCTAGAAAATATTTCCTATTTAACAGAGTACGAAAAAACATAAACAAATAAAAGGAACAAAATGGTTCATTTCTAACTTGGTACAAATTCACAGGAAATGCCGCAATTGAAAATTAAAAAGGAGAGCAATATAAGGGGAGGTGTATTTTTTTCAAGACACTTTTTCTTTTTTATTAAAGCCCTTATTTTAATGCATTGAGCTTCACATCGGACAGCAAATAAGCTTTTGTTACGTTGTCACAAATGGAGGGTCCTTAGCTCCGTCCTCTCTCTCTCTCTCTCTCTCTCTCTCTCTCTCTCACAGCTACTCTCTGTGTATGCTCACTCAATCGCTCATCTCTTCTTCCGTTTCTTCTTCATCTTTCTGATCTGCTAATTGTACAGGTAAAGCGTTGCAATCTTTCATTTACAAGTCTTGCTTCCAAGTTTTGTTTTCTTTTCCTGGTCAAACCAAGCAATTGCCCGCCGATTTTCTTGCTATTTCCTGCAAACCTTACTGTTCCTCGCTCCTGCTTTTGCTTTCCAGGCCACTTGGTGTGATTTCATTTTTCATTTCCTCATATTTTACTCTCAACAAATGATTAACATTCCGAACTAAGTTTTTCATTATCTGCAAAATTCTTTTTGGAGATTTGGTCCTTTTTCTTTTCTTTTTGGGATGAGGGGTATTGCTCTTCATCTTAGCTTTTTGTTTTCTGATCGACCAAACTAAGAATAGTGGTTGCCTGGAGGGGTTGGTGCTTCTTCTTCACTGGATTTCTGTATCTCTTACTATCATTCTGGGTTTGCTAGTTTCTACTATTTAACTCCGTTGTCAGCATATGTGCGAATCTTCTACCTGTAAGGTCTTTTGCTGCTCCAGGACGATTTAACAAAGAGTGGGATCATAAATCATAATTTCCTCTCTTTATCTTTAATGGAACTTATCCTACGGGTCATTCTCCTTTAGTTGTTTTCCTGTAACTCCTGATAAATTCACTCTACCAAAAAAAAAAAAAAAAACCTAACATGTATACTCTGGGTATTCATATTGGATTTTATATCGGTGACTGTTGCTTGTTTCCAAAAGAAAATATTTTGCGCACAAAGGTGGTGCTTCTATAGGTCATGGAAATTTTGAGAATCAAGCTACTGAGACTGATTATAAGAAAAATTGAGGAGCAGCCGGCTGTTATTTTAATTCTTTTTGTTCCATGTATTCTTTTCTTTAAACTTGGAAGTTTCTGGTTGCGGGATACCATTAAATTACTGAAACATTCGTTGCTTTTTCTGAACAATGCCAAGTGTTGTGGTGTTTGGTAGGCCATACAAAATTGGGTGACTACCGCTTGAATTGTGATGTCTGCGCCGCTGCTCGGCATAGGCGAGGAAGAAGGTAAAACCAATGCTACTTTGCTGGTTTCCTCAACTGCGGCTGAAAATGGACTCCTCAATGCCACAGAGTTAAAAGAACGCAACTATATGGGATTATCTGATTCTTCTTCTGTGGACAGCTCAGTCCTGTCCTTCTCAGATGAGACTAAAAGTAACCTAAACCTAAAAGCCACAGAGCTGAGGCTTGGCCTTCCAGGATCTCAGTCTCCTGACCGGGACTCAGATCTCTGCTTGAGAAGCTCAGCTCAGCTGAATGAGAAACCCTTGTTTCCATTGCGCCCATTGACTGATGATCACCACTCTTCAACAAAGACTGCTGTTTTGGGCAGCAAGAGAGGGTTCTCAGATGCCATGAATGGTTTCTCAGAGGTAAATACTGGTTTAATTTAAGGATGCGTGTTTGTTAAATGCTGGGCCTCGCACTAAAAGCCCCCGGTGAATCTATATGCAGGCAAAATTTCTTGCTGATTCAGAGGCCAATAATGTACTGTCCCCCAGGCCTTCTCATAACATGGGATTGAAAACTAGTGGTGTGCTTGAGAATCTCGGGGCTCAAGCCAAAGCCAAAGAAGTAACACCAACAAAGGCAAAACTTGAGAGGCCTCATTCTGTCAAGGAAACTAGAGCAAACCTCGAAGGTTCTGCCAATAACAATAGCAATGCACCAGCTACCAAGTAAGCAGAAAGTAGGAACAAAAATTAATTTTGGGCCATGAGGCACCAATACTAACAGTCTTTGTAGCTCGTGCTGTATCATGTATCTGTCATCATGGATCCCTCTCCGGGGCTAAGCTATGGAAGTGATCTCTAATCATCCTTGTGTGTTGTGGCACAGGGCCCAAGTTGTGGGTTGGCCTCCTATAAGATCATTCAGGAAGAATTCACTGGCTACTACTTCAAAGAATACTGAAGAAGGAGATGGAAAAGCAGGATCTGGTGCGCTGTTCATCAAAGTCAGTATGGATGGTGCTCCATATTTAAGGAAGGTAGATTTGAAGAACTACTCCGCATATCCAGAACTTTCATCTGCACTGGAGAAGATGTTCAGCTGTTTTACCATAGGTAAGAAATTAATTAATTATACATGACCTCATCTAGCACTTAAAAAAAAATTCTTGATCTGTTTGCATGGATCCAGTTACTGCGTATTTTCATTGTGTTTTCAGGTCAATATGGCTCTCATGGAACTCTAGGCAGGGAGATTTTAAATGAAAGCAAGCTGAAGGATCTGCTTCATGGGTCTGAATATGTTCTAACCTATGAGGACAAAGAGGGGGACTGGATGCTTGTGGGTGATGTTCCGTGGGAGTAAGTTCCGACATGTCAATGCATTTGTTTTCTTTTAGCTGGTAGTTCTTTATAGAAAGAACAAACCTTTTTAGACATAAGAAGTTTGTAAAATAAAAGCATGTTGGGTGTAACATTGTCGATCTTTTCATATTATTATGTGGTGAAATTTTAGTGTTCTTAAGGCTGGTTCCATCTATAGATTCTCGTGATTCTAAGCTGACATTTGGCGTGAAAAGTTGGTATTATGCCATACTTGCAACTTATAATGCTCATCTAAAGTAGAGATGAATTCAAAGTATCATGCATATCATGCATGCGCTGATCAAAGCAAAGTAATCTCACGAGCTCTAGCCTTTTATATCAAGCTATTGTTCCATAACATTGTTGTCTGTGGATGTTATGCCTGATGGCTGAAGAATTTAATGTGTAACTAATGACCTGTTGATCTGAGGGAAATGGGTTCCCCTTTTGAGGATTAGCAAATTTAATAGCGTGCGATGGCTGATGTTTTTGCTTGCCACAAATTATCTTTTGTAAGAGAAAGTCAAAACAGAGTTGCACCACATTAGCGTTATTGTAATACTTGTTATCAATTATGAATCTCATATTTCAACAATTTGCAGGATGTTCATTGATACATGCAGGAGGCTGAGGATCATGAAAAGTTCCGATGCCATTGGTCTTGGTTAGTATTTCGTTCACATCCATCTATGATTTAAGCTGGACCTATCTGAGTCTGAATAAGGTGCTAGTGAATTATATCAGAAGAGTCGAAAGGATCTTGCATGTAACCAATTTGCACAGTTAAATAATTAAACATTCAAAAAGGAGTTGAAAGAAAACCTTTCCGTCATAGATCAAAGTAAAAAGAAAGTTACTCCAGTGTGTGGCAGACTTGTAAGGCCGTCCAAGGGTCACCTGTCACTAAAGGATATAATTTCTAAATCCTGCATTGAGAAATCAACTGTGTCCATATGCTTCAGTTTGTTTTCTGCCACGATATGAGCTACATTGAACACCACCAGTTTTTTCCGCCCCTTTCAAAATCACCACATTTGATTCGAATTCGTTATATTTGAGCCGCTTGCAGCTCCAAGGGCCGTGGAAAAAAGCAAGAGTAGGAGCTAGGCAGCCTCACTCATCACGTTCTATCCAACTGTCTTTCTGATTGAAAGCTTCAAACTAGGCGGTAAAGCGAACAAGGACATGAATCGGATTTGCATCAAGCTGCCTTACTTATTCCTATTTACTGTTTGTGTGTTTCCTATTGTCATGCCATTTATGTTCAGTAACTTTTTGATTCAAGACTGTCCGACACGTTATGAAACCCCCCGCAAGACATTTATTATGGGAGTGCTTATGCTGTTATATCCTACGTGCCTAAGTTCCTGATGTGAGATGCAGGAATCTCTAGTATGTAAATTGCATTGTTGCTTCGACACGTCTTGTATGTTTTGTGTGATGAAAACAGACCACCCAGTTATGTGTGTCTGTCATTTACCTGTTTTACCGTTTCACGATTATTTATTATAACATTTTTATTACCTATCAATGTCACATGTTTGGTAGCATTTTGAATCTAAGAACTGACACAACCAAAGGGTAGAAATTCCGAAGCCTGAGCTTTACTGTTCCTTTTTTTTTTTTTACGGTGTTAATTTTTTTTTTTCACAATATAAAAAACGTTGTGTTTGGTGATGCTTTTGAGTAAGGCCATAAAATATTGAGATATTGTCACGATTTTAGATATTTTTGTCGGGGGTTTCCCAAGCCACGCATGTGATTTGCAAATTCCGTTTCATTAAACAGTGTCGAGATATGGATGATTCTGAAGTCCACCGTGGAGGAATCCGAATTCTTGGAATGCCCAGTTTCTACGTTGAGACTGGGTATTGAATGTGAATCATGTGAGATCTGATAAAACTTGCCATTTGTGACGTTATAATCCTTAATTTCAACAGTTCGGAGCAAGAATTGTGTGGAATTAAAGCGCGCGAGTATGCACTTGGCTTGGCTCTCGTCTTCTGGTCCTTTTTTTTTTTTTTAAGACGACAGCGTATCATTTTCTAACCGTCAATATTGATCTCTCTCAAGATGACCAAAGTAAAATCTGAACCGCTCCCAAACTGAATTTATTTCATACACAAAGCTTCACCGAATCTTTATTAACATTTTCTTAAATTTCAATCTGGCTCCTTAAATTTACTAATTTCACTTTGTCCATAAATACGGTAGCATCTATTATCTTAATTTTATTTATGATGCATCTAGTATCTTGATATTATTTTTTTAGTGCTTTCAGCACTCTAAATCATAAATAAGATTATGATTTTAGATGCAATTAAAAGATAACACCAAGTTGTTTATCCATTAATCGTTTTCTTTCAACTCCGTGTCCTTGTTTATTCTTGTATTCCACTTTTATTTTTCTTCAATTTGATACTTTAATTTATAAAAATTTTGGAACCATTCTAATGTTTCTACTTTCTTTCCACAGCTCACAAGTTGAATGGGCTTATCGTATCCGTTGGGTAGCCCAGACAGGTCCTAGTTCCGATATCAGAACACCACCACTCATTATCCCGATGTCTCAACTTGATCCTGCTCTAAACTAGGGGATCGACACATATGTTTTCAAATATTAAGAATGACGTAGATAACTCTCTCTCTCTCTCTCTATATATATATACTTCTTCGGTCCTTAATATAAGACTCAATTGTTGAGTTAGTTTTCGTCTTAAATACAAGACCCATTTCTCATATTTATCAATTTTCTTTAAATTACCTTATAGATACTCCTTTAACCATAATCAAGTAGAAGAGGGAGAGGGAGTATTAAGAAAAATAATTATGGTGTTTTAGGAAAAATGTGTCACTTTTCTTATAATTAACTAACTTACCTAACTTTCTTAATCTAATCAAATTAGTTAAACATGTCTTATATTAAGGACCAGAAGTAGTATATATATATATATTACCTCCGGTCCTTAATATAAGACCCTGTTTGACTCTTATTTTAGTCCTAAATATAAGACTCTAATCCATTTTATCTCTCATATTTATACATTTTTTTGAGAGTAGCCCTTCTAATAATGATAGTTTTAGTCAATACATTTGATTAGCAAGGATATTTTAGAAAAGACAACACTTACTTAGGACAAATAACTAACTCAACTTACTTCATTAATCTCTTCAAATAAGTCAATTGGCTCTTATAATTAGAACCGGAGGTAGTATATATGAACTTCTATTCATTATAACACTCTAAAAGTTTACTGTTGAAACTTCTCCCCTCAAAGATTAGTGGGGCAGCCTGTTTGATTTATTTATTTTAAAAAGACTGCATGCAAAATGATGAAATACCCAATGCCCAAACAATTATATAACGACTAAATTAAAGAGAGTCAAGATAAGCACTTGATCCATAATATTATGCATTTGTTTAAAATGTCAGAACGAATCAAGTTCTGCTATATTAATATGCATATTGTTCATTCCCATGTGGATTGCCAAATATTTTTTCTTCCCATAAGTCAACTTGCTAATACATGCCACCCTCATTATACATCTTCCCGCATTTTTAATTATATTTAAAAAAACTTCGTATAAACTAAATGCACATTAAATAACTGAGTTCCCCATCGCCTTATTAATCAAATTCGATCAGAGCGGGTTGATGTTTCTTTACAACTTAAAATATAGTTGTAAAAACAGGGAGAGAGAACAATGTTATTCCCAGAAAATCGTCCAGGAACCCATCTAGAAAGGTTTGTCAATTATATTATGTACTCCTCCAATCCTTATTATAAGACCCCATTTGACTTTTTATTTGGTCCTAATTATAAGACCCCAATCCATTTTATCTCTTATATTTATGCATTTTTTTCCAAGATAATCCTTCTAATAATGATAGTTTTAGCTAATATACTTAATTAGCAATGATGTTTTAGGAATGACAACACTTATTTATTATAAATAACCAACTTAACTTACTTCCTTAATCTCCTCAAATAAGTCAATTGGGTCTTATAATTAGGACCAGAAGAGTATTATAGAGCTAGATTGGCGGTTGACCATATCAATCATATAATTAATGTAAAGGCCACACACATGGTGATGAGATTGGGGGGTCTGGGAATATCTCAGAAAATATAATAAAATAAAATAAATTTGTAGTGGATTGAAGAAATTGGGCGCAAAATAATGATATGCAGGTTCATGAGCAGAGGGAAATAAGAATTTTACAAGAAAGCTCTTACGAAACTGAAAATTAAAAATTTAGGAGAAAGAATATTTAGTAGTAATGAGAAGAGGCAAGACAAGGGGCCTTAATAATCAACCCTCCTCTGTTTTGGGCGGGCTTTAATTCCCTTGCTTTGCTTGTTTCCGTTAATTAAGTGGTTAATTGCATATCATCTAAATGTGCGTGGGCGCGCTAGTGGGTATTTAATAATAATATTAATCAAATTCCCTCATTTAATTGCTACCACCATTATCAAGTTGACTTTTATAAGTCATTGCTTACGGCAATTGAGATCTCCAGTCCCTAATATTTTAAGCTTTCTCACTGTATTTACTCATGTCGTCCAAGCCATTATATATGGAGAAGTTTCACCTTCTGGGAAGCAATGGGATCCTCTTCTTCCTCTTCCTGTCTTTTCTTGGCCCTTCAGATTATGCATAACTTACCCAACTTGAAATGAAACCTGTGAGCGACTAAGAAAGCTTATGAAGTCAATTATTGTGTTGGGTTTCTAAAGTCAAGCTTTAATTTGGAGCAGGTTAATCTCAATTAACGTAACGTACATCTCAACCTAATGGTGTCTGTGCTAAAAACAAAAAGAACGTTACAAATATATGCTTAGTGCGCAAACGCCTACCTTTGCCTTTTTAACAGTTCGATGAGAAGAAGGCCAAGTCAATTTCAAGAATTAAAGTTTAGATTTTTAGTATTTAAAATGAGATTTGATTAAAAGTCAGCAACTTTAGCAAATTCTTTGAATTTAGATGCCACTGACCCCAGGTCATTACTGTTTAGGTATGCGATAACGATATAGTGACTTTGAGTCCACATATCAATATTTTTATTGCAATTAGAGCTTAAATCTCATGCAACCAGTTCAGTCATATGATCAATTAAAAGAAAAAAACTAAATTAATCAGTTGGGCATATCACTTCACTTAAATGCAATTATGATCGGTGATGGTGATAACGCCAATTACACTACAAAATAGACCTTCTATTTAGGATCCGAAGAGCATAAGTTTTTGCTGAATTTACAGTCACATTTTTTTTTAATTACTCACTTGGTCACTTCTAATGTACTTCTCTGATCTTAAATATAAGACCCATTTTGTAATATAAGTTCTCTATAAAATGGTCTTATATTTAGGACCGGAAGATTATATATTTATTTAATAAATTTAATGAAATTACTCATATTGATGACAAAAAAAAGTTAAATTTGATGGAACACATCATCCGATGCTGTGTGTAATTGCATATACCATCAGAAATTATTTGGACCATACACGCATATTGACTTGTATAAATTAACATATTGCATTGCACATGACTAAGATGTGGAGTTATTACTACTTTGTGTTATCGTAATTATTGTTGTTATAATATTTGTACAAAATTCAATGATATATGTGCTTCGTGATTAGTTGGCCATAATTAAAAAAAGAGAGACATAAATAATTAACAAGGTCATGGCATG